TGGTTGTATTTGCGAGTAAAGGTAAAGAACACCTCCATACCTTCCAGCGATTCTTGGAAGGTCGTTCTGTTCGGTTCGTTTGTAATGTTAATGTCGTGGATGAGTCGTTTGTATGGTGCCGGTAGTGGTTGACACCTGTTGAGGGGATTCTGTTCCAAGTTAGTAAACCAGCTTTCCAGAGTCAGTCGTTGAAAGTAGTTGGTGCTGTGGATTAGGCATTACGCAGAGTCCCACTCAATAGTGTGGTTCGTAAGTCGGTGATGTTCAGCAATGTGATTGTTGACATCGCCTTTCCTCGTCGCTCGTTTAGTGTTCAGTCAGTCTAGTTGTGAGGTTTCTGCCAGTCTCATCGATGTAGGAGGCATGGCAGTCGGAGCAATTGATTCTAGAAACTGCACCCTGTCTGTTCCTCTGTTCGTCTTGGTCTTTGACGTTAGTCAGTAATTGACGTGGTGTGGTAATGGGTTTGTGAGCGACGCGGATGTTGAATGGTTGTAAGATGCACGAGATGTTCTCAGATATGCCCTTTATGTACGGTATAGTTGCTGTAGTCGTAGGAGTCGCGTTGTCTTTGGCTTCGGTAATATAAGTAGGTCGGTGAGTGTTTCGTCGGATGAAGTCTTTGTTATAGTTGTTCTTTGAAAAAACACGGTCAAGGTACTTGGTCTCGTCGGATAAACTGTCTGTCGCGTTGCATGCTAGTTGCGCTCGTCGCTTGAGAGTCCTGATAGTTGTGGCTTTGTGTGATGTCGGGTTGTAGGATGACTCGTCCAGTAATCTGTCGGTATGTGTTGGTTTCCTATAGACTGTTGTCCGTAGTGAGTTGTCGTCACGGCTTACCAAGCAGTCTAGAAAAGGTAGTTTACCATTTTCTTCGACCTTTCTGGTAAACTGTATGTCAGTGTTTTGTCCGTTAAGGTGGTGGTGGAATGCGTCGATTTCGTCGTGTCGTACGGCGGTGAATGTATCGTCAACGCAGCGTAACCAAAGCGGTATCGGTAGATCGTCGGATTGCAGTTTTAGTACATTGTAATGCCAGTTGAAGTTTGTCACCAAGGACCTAAGGACTACTTGAAGCCCAGTGGAAGAGCATCCGAAGTGCTAATCGAAGGGTCGTAATATTGGCAGCACTCTGACTTCCTATATCCGAGTATGCCTGGGTTATTAGCTGAATAACATCTTATGCTGTTTAGAATCCACTCACCTGAATAGAATAGTCCAAGGAATCAGGAAATTTCCAAGAATCGCTTGAAGGTATGGCGGTGTTCTTGACCCTTTACTAGCGAATACAACCAGAGCTCCACTCGAAGCGTGACAGAAGCCAACGAAGAAGAGCAGAAGGTGTGGAAAACGTTTTTCCGTTTCGCCGAGAACTTGAGGCGAAAAGATTTTAATGAACAACGTTCCCAGTCCAAATATTATGACAAACGACAAACTCGCAAAAGACAGCACAAAGTAACTGTCGACTGATTTTCCCGAATGATTTCCATTTACGGAGTCGATCCAGAGCGGAAGGGAAACGTTTTCTACGACTTTGCCGGCTATGGCGACAAAAGCGAATAACAAGTTTGCCCAGTACAGACGAATTTCGCAGAATCCAATCTTAACCACATTTCGTTTTCGATAAAGTGAGGTTGGGCGAGATGAATCGAAATGTTTGGAAATGCTTGACATATCACTATCTTCATAAATCGGATAAGAAATACTGGAAGAACTCATTTTTGAAGAACCGGCTGGTGATTATTCAAAGCGCATTATTCTCCAGAGAAACCCTCTCACTGATTTTGAGAGAAAGTTTTTTACTCTTCTCTGCCGGATAAGATCTCGGCCTCGGGAAAATACTTGAATATGACGTTATACGGTTGCAAGGTCGCAATATGTTAAGTAAATTGTGTCATGATCTTAAAAATCCTGGGCTCTTCATAGAATGTTCAGCAATAATGTGGAACAAATAAAGTTTATCCCTTTTCGGCTTTATCCACGTCGCAAAGATCAATTTGCACAAAATTGTCGCATCACTGTTGAACTCACAAGAAACAAATTTGGCAAAATATAAAAGTACGTCTTATTCTTAAAACAGAGACAAGGCTAGTTTGAGATTTGAGTAACCCTGGGTGTCTATGACAACTTATCATCAACATCTAAATGTCTTTTGCTGGCTGGATTTGTCTAAGGATAAAGCCGTAAGAAACACGAAAGGATATGTTGGGTTGATAAAATCCTGTAATTCACAAGATGCCATTTCGCCGGGCAAAGCTTAAAAATAGGTCTATTTTTCCACAAAAGACACGTAGCTCAACTCAGCAGCAGCATCCAAAGTGTCTAGTGATCTAAAGGACTTGTTCGTTGATGAAGTCCTTAAATGTATTCATGCATAGTCACATTCTTTCAATGCACTTTTCTCCAACGAAATCTCCTGCATCGTTTTTCTACAGATAATCTTGTTGTTTTTCTTAAGGCTTGATCCCAAGATAGATAACTAGAAAGAGACATTTCGTTGATGCTAATAAGTTGTCAAAGAAACACGGGGTTATTCAAGGGTAACAAATCAGCTTTGTCTTTCTTTTAGGAATAAAAACATGTCTTTATGTTTTGCCATAATGGTGTCTATGTGAATTAGAGTAGGGATGAAGGAAATTTGTGGAATCCAGGCTTCATGACGTTGATAAAGCCGAAAAGGAATAAGCCTTTGTTTATTTGTTTGTTCCATAGTATTATTCAACATGTGAAGAACCTGGGATTTTTATACTTCTTTCATTTGCTTCATTTGGCAAATAAATTAGGAACGACGTCTCTGTATCTGGAATATTTTAACTTTCAAGTATATTCAAGTACATCCTGTCTCCTACGATTAATATTTGGTCAACTGTAGCAGTATCGCAGTGCCACACTGGACATGATTGTGCACACAACGGCGCTGATAGAATAAAAAGGCTAACATGTGTGCAACTGCAAATGTCGCCATGTAAGGATTAAGATGACCAAAAATTACTGTAAGTAGGAATGGAATAGATAAAAAAAGAAAAAAAAAGAAACCGATGATGTGGCATCAATAAAATTGTTCACGCTGGCCTTAAAAGGCAAACTGCTTTAATTTCTTTTAATTTTTCAAGAACCACACAAGCATTTACACCAATACTGTTAAATTACACATACAATTTTTTTCAATCGATCGCAAACTCATCCACACCAGTTTTTTTCGTATTTGCTTATGCACTTTATAATCACATTTTTTTGTCAGCGTTTTTTGAAATATACTTTATCTGTCTGTTAACCTAGCCATACTGCTTTGATATCATGTAGAAGCTAATCTGAAATTAGTGTGGAGAAATCCACACTTTAAGTAACAAATTGTGCTGTGGATCTCTTTCTAAACATGCGATAAAATCAGATCTTGTCCCCTTTTTTCGGACGAACTGTTAGCACTTTGCAAATGAATGCTGTTTACAAGCATCCTTAAAACACAGTTTCTGGTCTAACTGCAACTGCTTTTAAGTCTTTCAAAGTCTGCTTTCCGTGCTGCAGAGAAGAGGTTGCTCTGGTTCTAGCGCTGAGTTATACTCCCCACTTTGATTTTTATTTGTGTCTAGCGAAATCTCTGGTGCCCTGCGATAAAGAGGAGAAGTAAACGCCATCGTGAGA